AGACATTTTTATTTTTATTAAAAGTGTGCGCAGTTCGGGAAGTAACGTTCAAAATGTATGATTTTCCTTTTTTTGTTCATTTTTTTGAGTATTCGATTTTCTCTGTAGGTTTTGACGATGCACCAGGATTTGTTCTAGAAAAAGATGTGTCAAAAACTACATTTGATGTGCTTAAACTGTTACACAGGATATATTTCACATAAATCGACCAGTTTCTTAAAAAAAAGACGAATTAGTTTGACAAACGTAGTCGCTTTAGGTTTTTCTCTATAAGAAAAAATTCTTTCTTTTTCTTGAAGAATAAAATAAATAACTCTGGCACAAATCATAATAAATATCGATGGAGTTTAAGAAAAAAGAATAAATCAATCCAGATAATACATATCTGAATTCATCGTTAGATTAGATGAAGAATGATTCGAGGGAGAAATCAACCGCTGATCACACGAATATTATATTGAGAATGATTTTATCCTTACTCAACCACCCATGTCGATACGACACGCTGTCGACACATGACGTACAAAAATTCACTGTGTCGGCACGTGTGGTTACATCTAACTCCATCATATCATTGTCTCGGTAGCGTGTCGTAGTGACACGCGGGTAATTAAAGATCTCTAGTAAAACCTCCCTTAACAATTGCCATTCATTTCAATGTTAAAATTCAAATCAGTTTACTACAAAAATACGTCCTACGATAGTTTTTCAAATAATATATAAGAAAATTAATACACAAATAGATGTCGCTTAATGGTACATACTGTAGTATTGAACGAGGAAGAGAAATAATCATTTTCCGAGGAATTGTCATTGTATTATGAATGACAAAAAAAAAACAATGAACGATTATGTTCATATAGAAAGGTGATAAATACAGAAATGCATATCATTACTCATTCAGTATTTGCCAAAAAAAAATCAATTTTTATGCGTAGTCTCCTAATTCATTATAATATCATTCTTATGTTTATTTTTCTTTAAGATAGATACGTTCATTATATCATGTAACAGCAACTTCTAGACATTTTACCAAAAGATTGGAATGTGTTCATCATCAATGGTAATCAACGCCCTGTAACAACGGCTCTTCGAAAACAAATACGAAGACTGAGCCCGAACTTAGATCAACCACCTGATGCAAAACCAATCTTGGTGATTTTCTGTTTTTCTGCTGGATGTATGTATATAGTTGTGCATGAACAGACATATAGGCAAAAGCGTTAGTAATGAGGGAACGTTTTCTAAAGTTGTTACACTCTAAGTTAAAATGTGTCGACTTTTTCCGTCGTAAATTATAGTATCATGGGTTCCAGCAAGAAAATGTGTCGCACTTTAATGTGTCGTATTTTTAACCGTTCTGTACATATATGACGACTGTTCATTCAACATTTTGTTCTGCTTGTATATCTATATATAATCTATCTGAACTATCACATGAGAATCATAAATTTTCATGCACCATTCTATATAATATATTTCTCGATTATATATTTCTTGTAAATATTTCGAGAAATAATGACCTCACTTTAAGAGAGATCTACCTGGCAGTAGTCTGATCAAAATCTGACTAGTCTTGCACGGTTGGATCTCAAGATCAGACTTTTTAACGGTGTTGCATCAAACACTGATGTTAATTGTACTAATTAAATATTGATGGATATAATGCATCAAAGAAAAAAAATTATAGATACGGTGAAACCTAGGCTCGAACCGCGATTTCAGAATGTGTCGGATGTGTCGTACGCTTGCTGGAGAAAATGTGTCGCAACGAGCACCTCGTGTCGTGCTTGAATGTGTCGTGGAATGTGTTGCGAATCACGACACATGCGACACATTTTAACTTAGAGTGTATAATTCGTCTTGCTGGATAATGAAACCGGATATTAGGGATATTCTGGTTTGAAAATAGAAAGACAAACCAGAGCTATTATAGTATTTTTTAAATTGATAATTTAGATCTTAAGAAACCAAAGCCTCGTCATCGAAACAGGAAAAATGATATTCGTTCTGGCTCACCAAATTCAAATAATACTACACCGCTTCAATCAGTCGATAACTTACAGGTACCAATTGTTCAACCAGTACAAACGGCATCAACTGAACGTATTAGTACAGAAGATTCAAATGATACAGTGATTCTTCAGTCTGCCGCACACTTAGTGACACCAGTTGCTCTACCAGTACAAAACGGAACAACTCAGTCTGATATTGCAGAAAATATAAATGATGCTGTGATACTTCAGTCAATCGAAGATTTAGTAAGTCCAATTGCTCTACAAATACAAGAACTATCGAATGAACCTGGTTTTACACATATCTATTCATCAATATCACCTGTTCTACTCAAACCAACATCTGTTCATGGTAAAATTTATGACAAAGTTGCTTGCACATACTTATCTATAATTGAGAACGAGCTTTTCTATAATACACCTCTGATTGAGAAGTTTCTAATAAAATACTCATCATTCGAGAAGATTCATAGATTTGTTAGAATGACATCGCTTCGTTTTGTGTTTTTATTACGTTATTTGTATTGCCTGAGAAATAAAGAAAGGAATAGTTTTAACACATCAAACTTCTACTTTATTTAATTTGGGATTGTCTTAAAAGACTTGTCTGTCAACATTCATTTATTGCAGCGATTCAAAGATGTGATCCAAGACCTGATGCAGATTCTCAAACAATTAATAATGATTTCGAAAAGTAAGTTTCTATTGTTATCATTTCAATTCGTAGTTAGAAATTCTGATATATTTACGCTTGTAGTTTAAGTAATAAGAAAATCAAATCATTAGTATTCTTTTTAAATGACAAAAAAAAATTAAATTGTTTTGTTGTTCAATTTATATATGAATCCGAATACGAATGACGATGAGTTGTAAATTTTAAATATAGACTATAAAAATTCTAATTTATTTGAAACACAGATAATTTTGATTCAATTTTTAATTGATTAAATTGTTAACTAATTCGTTTGTATTTGTTGTTAGGATTTCATATCGATGAGACGATTAAAGAAAATACTGCATAAAGACTTGCAATCATCATGAAAAAGGGTTTGTACAAAAAATCCACTTGTAACAGTATTCATGACCCAATAAATTTATAAAGTTGAACTTCTGTCGATATTTCAACCCATTAATAAGGCATGTAATACATGTGCACTTTACAACTTCATTTTCATTAAAGTTTCTACTTGCTCCAACGTGTTTGTTTTTACTTTTACTATCACTTATACCTAGTCCTCGTAAGAAATAAGATAATATAATTTTGATTTGTTTATTGAATAAATTATAAATTGAAGATAGACAATTAGTATTTAAACTAAATTGAATATTGTATAATTTAGATTTAAAAATAAATATAGCATGATAAGTGATTTTTTTTTAAATATAAATTTGCAAAGAAATTTTAAATTACGAGTATTTTTTCTTTCACTATTTAGATTACAAATCGAACAATTGACAATGTTCTCTCTTTCATCACCACCACCGCTGCGATTTTCAAAACAACCAACAACAACCACTCAAGCTCATGATTATAATATCTTTAATCTAGTATGTTCTCTGAGGAAAGCCACAAGTTTTCTTAGTATTTACATTTTAGATTGAAAATAACTATCATGATGCGAAGAATTGTGAGATCTCTATTGATGATGATCATGATGAAATGGACATTGTTGATGATGATAATGAAATTCCTGATGAACAAGAACCTGTTTGGATCATGAACATAAGAGCAGAAAATGCGAAAATTCTTGCAGAATGGAACAAGGAAGTTGACAAGTTGACGGAGGAAGTCGAAAGATTGAAGAAGGAAGCTGAAGAGATGAACAAAAAACTAAACGAGATCAAGACAAAGCGAGAAGAAGCAAGAGTTAAGTTGAACCAAAAATTAAATGATGTACTTGCAGTATTCAAATCGCAAAAGTCGTAAGTGAAAATGAAACTTTGAGAATTTAAATCATTTTATATTTTAGATGGCGTTCTAAATCAAAGAAACCTCGGAAAAGATCTGGTGAATTAAAGAAAAAAATTGTAAGTGAAGTTGAATGTTGTTTTTCTTTTGGTGTAAAGAAAGTATACATTAATGGTGATTGAGATTTAAATTATTATAAGTTTTCTTTCTTTCACATATAAATAGTTTTCTATAAATTTATGATAGACGAAGTTTTATATCAAATCAAGCTATTCTATTTTCTGTTAATATCGGATGTCAATCAAATGAAGAAGGAAAAAGGTGTGAAAATGGGTTGAAATTTTAACAAAAATTCATTCATAAAAGATACATATTTGAGCCTATTGAGAACGTGTTCATGTTTCCGAGCAGATATTTAACTATGCATCCGAAAATCTACTTTGAATGAACATGTTCACATACGCCTTTATTCATTTGAGTGATTTTTAATATTAGCAAGGTATAGAATAGTTTTATTCAATTGTATAATTTATTTCGTTATGATTTAATTGAAAACTAGTATTTTCAATAAATGAAGTTTTTTATAATATAAATATAGGTAAATGATAAAAAAAATTGTATATAATTGAATAAAAACTATCGTAAACCGAACTTATCGAAGACCTTTTTTACTCATTAATTAAATTAGAAGCAAATATAAAGCGAACCTATAGTAAAATAATGAAAGGAAAGATGAAACCCAAAAGAAAATGTTGATAAATGCGATTTATTTACTTTTATTTTTCTTTTTAGAATGTACTTCATCGAAAATGATGTATCTTTTTTTGTAGTCATTGTTTTTAACATGATTGTTTATAAAATAAAATAATATATATTCATTTTTACAAGTAATTTTATATGATTTAAAGTTCGATTGACCTGTGTTTAGAAATTAACCGATATCGGTATTTCAGATCGTACTTACTAGAATTCTCATTATAAGTGTCCTCGTTCTAGTAATACTTATACGAAAATTTCAGGCACCTGTGTACTCTGAATGGTGGTACTCTGGTGCATCGATACTTGTGTTTCATGGAATAACAAATAAATAATTTCCTTGGTTAATATAACAGAATGATTTATTTATATTGATATAATAAGTCGAAAACCATTAGATTTTGATAGGTGAATAAGACGGTTGAGTATTTACTAAATTGATGCAATCGTAAAACAAACTGGTTTTTAACAAACAGTACTAAAAATATTATCACAGAAGCAACAAACAAGACAAAAACTGCATTATACTATAGGTGCTTGCATAGTTTCAAAAAGATAAGAAAATATTGCTCGTTTATGCTGTTGATGTTGCGAGACATCGTTTTTCTAATATGTCATGATTAGAGTAATATCGTTACTTTGAAATTCTTCTGAAGAAAAACATATTGTACAATCTGATTTTAATCCATTTCTACAAAGGTTAGATTAGAATTGCTGATTTTAGTATCCATATCTATGATTATTGTATTGATATTCAGCTTTCGGTTGTTTTATCAAATATACTTATTAAATCATTTTGGTAAATGCTGAAAAATTGTTAGTGTCCATTTTCTTTTCGTAATATTGAATCGTCTCTTCTGATTGCTCTTCGAAATTAACCATTGCTATTGTTTTTGGTCTGATCTAGAAGGAAGATTATAACGCAAACTACGGATTTTTATCGTTTTATCGAAAAAAAGTGATTCAAAAACGACAATAGATTGGTTTCTTGACTGATTATTAGTTCTATGAAAGTTTTAAGCATGCATATATATTGCTAATTTATAGTTTATATCGAAAACAAAATCACTCTAGAAAAACTACTTTTTATGTTATTCACTACCAATGAATCAAAAACGACCCAGGCTGTGATGATGAACACTGCTTTTTCATTTTTAATCAGAAAATTTTTAAACATTACTCTACAAATAGATTATGCGTACACTAGCATCTATCAACTGCACAAATGCCTAAATAATCAATCTGAGTAAATAAATAAAAGAAAAAAGATAAAAATCACGTTTTTTCACTTTTTTTGAAAAAAACACCATTTATCGAATCAGATATCTTAGCCAATCGATGATAAAAAAAAAGTTAATTTTTTTTTTAATCTATAGCTTATTGAATACTCTATACAATGTTTGGAAACCATCTTAATCCGATACTTTTTTAATTTAAATATTTAATTTTCATAAATAGGTCAAAAATGACTCACTGCAGGGTAAAGGGTTAAGAATCCGTATATGCGAAAAAAGTTCAATGGAGAGATAGTCGTTGAGTGTATGCATGCAAATCCGTTGTTTACAATGAAAAATTTATCAATAATTCTAGAAAGGATCTTCGATCTTGGTTTTTTTCTAATATTGATGGGGAACACGTCTGGTTATCGATCACTGAAAAGAGAACTCTTGTAGTGCATGCTCTCATCCAAGAAAAGTGATAAACACTAGGCTTTGGTCTAAGATGGTTGTATACGTTTACTCATTGTATGTCTCACAACTAGTATTTGGATCCTTAATGCATCAAGACTCGATGAAAATTCGATTTGCTACATACCATGCGATGCGCAGTGAGCTGCTCTATAAAACCACATATGTGACTTTTCAATTCAATTAAGCCACCAAATTTTGGCTGGGGTCTATTTTTTCTGAAAATTTCATGACTTTCCGGGAAAATTGATTTTCAATTTCGAAACATGTTGTTTTTTTCTCCAAATACCTTCATTGGATAGAGCAGACAAAATTCTCTATCATGCATAAGTTTCATAAGAGTCCACCTTTATAAAAGATTTATTTGAATAAAGTCTTTGTATGAGGCTAAAACGGGGTGATCGAATACTTTTTTGACCAATTGTATGTTGAAAAAATAATTTCTCTATTTTTAGAGTCGTCACCTTTTGACTGTAATTTGGCATCCTATGGTATTCTAAGCTTTCTTTTTCGATTCCGCTTTCTTTGATTGGTATTTATTGCATCATGAAAACGTTCGATTCTCTATTTTCGAATACACTCATTATTTCTTGACTATGGGTACCTTCCTTTTTTAGCTATTTCTGGTTTTCAAAGAGGCTACAACTGATGCGCGTCAAATTTTTACTACAGATAGAACATCTAAAATAAGCAGACATGTGTTTGAGGTAATCGATTTTAAAGAAGGTATTTCATAGGACCATATCAGGTCCGTTTACCTTTGTTTGATCGAACTAAAATTCTAACTACAGACACTTGGAAGTGTTCTCCGCAGGTAAAATTGGTCGTTTTTGTCTTTGATCTTCCTATCTGGATTTATAGAGTACTGAACGACAGCAAGCCAGTTTTGTGTCCAAATCTTGACGTATTTCTCAACATGTTTGAAAAATATCTCTGAGATATAGTTTAAGGTATTTCCCAAAAAAAAAAAAATTTACAGTCTGATCGGACAAAATTAGAGGAAAGTAGTAAATAAGTCCATTGTGACCTTATGAAAGACCAAGATTTTTCCGAATAAGAAGACCGCGAAAACCTTGTTTACGATTTTTGTCCTTGAACGATATGTCTCCTTATTTTATGAGTTCTATCTATGGTAAAAAATTTCAGGTGGATCAATTGTACCCTATTCGAGAATCAGAAATGACTACAAAAGAGGAGTGTTCTTAATGGTTATGCAATCCTATGTCGCACGTTCGTTTGCACTACTGCCGATAGTGCTTACAACCTTCGGTTCCAGCTTTAAATATATTTTACTAATAGAAATCTATCTCATATCTGAGACATAATACTTGAATGAAGACTTTTGATCTTTTTTCGATGCTTCTATTTTCTATCTCGATAATATTTATTTTTAGATGACAAGTTGAAAGGGCTTTGTTGTGTTCTAACATTCTGTTAGGGCATGGCCTCCTTCTTTATTTTTCCACAATTTACTGTAGTATTCTTCTTCATTTCAATATTTATTTATGAGATCAATTATGTTTATTTTTTTGCGATGTTTCAATCATTTAAACAATCATTTTCAAGTATATAAAACTAGACTTAATATAACAACCGTTTAAACTACTGTGTACAATTTTGAATAATATAAAATGAATAAAACTTGATTTAGAATTCACTATTTTCATATTATTGTTTTTATCTACTTAGTTATTATTCAAAATTTAAATATTTATATAAAACAGAACATTTTCAAATGTTTAACTTTATAGCCCATTTATTATGTTTTGCTTTTTTAATTCGTGAATAAAATAAATATAAAAGCA